GCCTCGGACACCACCGTTGGGTTTGCGGAGGGCGGTGAGGCGCGAGAGGGCGATGGCCTTCCGCGTGGCATGAGAGGCCGTCGGAGCCGAAGGTCAGGTCGTTCCGCAGCAGTGGCTCGCCCACACGACCGCAACTGGCGTCCCAGCCGACGACCGCACCCCGCCTTGACCTCGTTTACGGTGCCACCGCCAACGCAGGAGCGCTGTGCTGCGACGCAGAACTGGTGTCCCCCTTACAAGAACGGGTGATGAGGCAGCGCGCGTGCGGGCATGGAAGCTCTTCCTCCTGTTGCCACGCTTGCTCCTCACGCGCTCCGCATAGACCGCCACGGCCGCTTCGACGAGTTGCATGCCCACTCAGCGGCGGAGCACGCACAAGCACGCCCCCATCGCCGTGGTGAGGACAACGAAGAGGCAAGAGCTGCCCGCTTTCCCGAGCGCGCCACCGGCAGCGGCCTTAACCCCAGGGAACGCCGCAACGCTTGAAGCGCTGACGGCCCGGCGCCCGGCACACCCACTGCTCCCGAGGAGGTCCTCCCTACGGCGCACCACGTTGCGGAAGCACTGCGCACTTCCAAGCGGGGCTCGGCCGCAGACCTGTCTGGTGCCACTGTTGAACTGTATAAGCTTCTCCTGGATGATGCGGCGGCACTGGAGTCATTCACCTTTGCACCGCCAGCACCCAGCCAAGCTCTAGCCATCTAGCCAACAAGCCTGTCCTCGGGCAAGCGAGGGCATGGNNCCGTAAGGGTCCATGGCGCCACCGCATCCTGGGCCGCAGTAACCGTGCGGCCAGTCTCCGGCACCTGGCGCCACTGGCGGGGGCGGGTCGAACGCCGTCGAGGAGCATGCGCCGTGTGCATGGGGCAATCGTTCCAGCCTTGTTCCTGTAAGGTGCGACGTGCATGTGCCGCTTCCGCGAGGCAGGGCGTGCCATCTCCAGCCTCGAAGAGTTGCACGTGACATACGTAGCTGGCTGCGCACCGCGGCAGGCGTGCGCGTTTGGCAGGTAACGCGTCCGCCCACTGAGGCCCACCATTAATCGGCGAACTGCAATCCGACATCTTGGCCGCGCTTTTATAGCTTATTGTTTTTTTGTACGACCAAAACGTGGTCACGTTGCCGCCCCGGGCTAAAGCCGCCCTCGACGCCACGGTGCACGCTGTCGAAGACCGGTGTGGCATCGCATCCAATCTGGGCAAGACCCGCGTCATCGCCATCGAAACAGGCCCCGCCCCGCCTGGCATCGCGGAACTAGGCGATGATGCGCGCGAGGCGACAAGCCCGACGCCCAACGACGGTGTAGTTGTCCTTGGTTCGCCGTTGGGGCACCCGGCGTTCGTCCAGGCATGGGGACGACGCTGCAGAACCTGCTCAGACGCCGACTCCCGCCCTCGGGATCCAATTCGCAGCCGACACAACTTCGGGTTTCACTGCTGGTGCTTCGCCGCGCTGAGAAGCGAAAAAACCCTGGGCATCCCCGAGCCAGGGCGCTCCAGCCGCGGCAGGCGTTTTGTCGTGACGCTAAGCTCGGAAACCGGGAGAGAGCTGAAACTGCGAAAATCAAGACAGTGGAAGGCGCAGCCGAGCAGGAGAACACGATAGCAGCTGAATCGAGGCCCAGCTCCGGCCATGTGGGGAGGGCGGTGTATACGGACAGCTCTCCCCATGCAAGACCGTGGTTGGTCAGGACGACCGCAACACCTTGGAGCGACGCGGGGAAGCGGAGGCTACATGCGGGATCTTCGGGTTGTTGCAAAATGCGGTCGCAGAAGGCGCTGTCGCATGCTGTCGCGAACCCTTGTGGCGCGAAGCGAGTCGGCCCAAAAGGCACAATAGGTTGCCGGGGCGTGCGCCGCGGCGCGCGGCTCTGCGGAGGCCGAGACCCCCGTGGCGAAGTGGCAGGTGGGCCTGTCGCATGGCCAGGCCGGGCAGCGGGTCATCCGGGGCAGCTAGGGTTTGCGGCAACAGGGCCAGGCAGTGCAGCAAGCTGCGGGGACGGCCCGGAGTCTGTTCTGTGCGCGCGGGCTGGCGCAGTACAGGAGCAACGGCCACAAGTGACCTTCAGGTCGGGGAGTGTGCATGGGGAGAAGCTCGAGGAGAGCGTGCTGCGCGGAGAGGGTGTGAACTTGCGCAGCAACGAACTCACCTGTACCGAGCAGGGATGTGGGCAGGCTATAGCGTCGCCGACCCAGAGGTGCACATGGTCCGACGCGGGGTGGGCGGCGGCGGGAGCCCTGCGGGGCCAATTTCGGCTGCATTCCAGGCACGGGTTTTGGCGGCGTTAAGCCGGATGTGTGCGTGGGAAAAAACACGTGGTGCTCAAGGCGTTGCAGCAGGAACGCAGTGCGACAGGCTGGCTGGTGAGGTATGTGTCATCGAGGAACGCGCGCACACTCTCGTTGGGGAGGAGGTTGGCTTGCAAAGGCTTGCATGACGCGCAAGGCGGGGGCGACACCGAGTGCGAATAGGGCCGGCATAAGCGGATCACCTTGTTCGCCGCCCCCTGCCCCCAGCACGCTGTGCAGCAGCAGTCCAAACAAACTCGGATGGCGAGCCGTAGAAAAGCCATGCAAATGGCAGGATGGCATTGGCATCGGGGCGTCGCGGAGGGCTGCGAGCATGGCCTGCCTATGCCTGCCTGCTTTTGAGGTCGACGGCGCCGACGCATCGATTGACAGCACAGTGAGCCAGGGGTCGCCATCGCCGGCGGCTCCGTTTATCCCAGCTCATTGGTGTGGGGGAAGACGGCTGGCAACAGGCAGGGCTTCGTCGAAGCGAGTCGAGGAAAGGACCTCGTTGAGCCAGAACTGGTCGCCATCAACATTGGCGGTGCTGAGGCCCAAGAAGATTGGCACCGAAGGCTTTGTTTTTGGCGGTAGAGAAAGCGAGCAAGGCGGACCAACCGGAAGTGAAGGCAGGCCGTAACGGTCGAGGCACAGCACGGGCCCGGCGTTCCTGGTGAGGTAGGCCATGTCCGAAGCCGCCCGCCCCGGCAAAGGAAAATCTGGCACCCCCATCGAATCTTGCAGACACTTTGCGTGTGTGTGTGCACGCGTGCGCGCGTGCATGTGTGCGGGCGGGCGAGCGGGCAAGTGGCGTGCGAGCGTCAGAGCGTGCGGGCGTACGTACGGGCATGCAGGCGGGTGCAGGTGGGCGTGCATGCGCGTGCGCGCGCACACATGCGTGTGCCTTTGCTTTTGCTATAGGACATCTTTCCGCCGTAAGGTTTTACACTAAACCGAACCCTAGGACCGGCACGCGGCTCGGCTGAGGGCCGCTTTGCAAACGAGCGTCTGCGAGGAGCTTAATGCAAAGCCGTGGCTGGTCCGGCAGCACTGAGGAACGCGGTCCCAAGCGCTCGCTGCGCAGCAGCGGAGCGCGACAGACGTGGCGGAGGCGCTGGTATGGGCGAAGGAAGGAGGCGGCAACAAAGTGTTGTCTTTCACTTAATCTCGGCCGGCACTACTCAATTCCATGGCAGTCGCTCCAGTCGACACGATGTCTGACGTGTGTCTCGCGATTGTACAGGCAGTATACTTACGATCGTCGCATCATCCGCGATGCGAGCGCTCTGCCAGCAACGACTTCGATGCGGCGCGTGTCTGCTGCCGGCACGGCAGGCCGATGTTGAGCTCGCGCAAAGCCACATTTGTAGCGACCCGTGCTCAAGCCGTGAGGCAGAAATGTGCAGAAATGGTCCGCCATGCGTTGAGGCGGCTCGAGGTGGCCACCAACAGTGCCTCGTTCTGGGGCGAGCACCAGCCGAAGCCTGACCCGGCGCAGTAGCCGGATGCGGTACTCGGCACCAAGCACGTCGGTACCAGGGCTCGTTGGCCACCATGCGGCAACACGAGCACGCGGTTATCGGTGGTTGTCGATGCCGCCGCAAAGTCATTCTCCAGGAGCGAAGCAGTTCGCGCGTGGAGCTGGGCATGCCGTGCGCTCGGACGGAGTGCAAGCTCGCTCTAGAAACTCCAGAACTCACTCTGAATGGTTGCGCGAGTGTGCGCGCAACGACGCGACCGAGCCGCAGTGTCGGGACCCCGGCATCTGTGCTGCAGCCTGCGGGCAGCTGCAGGCAGCGTGAGTCAGCTGCACGGACGCTTCGTCATCGACGGCCCCTCTTCGAGCTCGACGGACGGTGATCGTTCCGAACGCAGTTCCACACGCATCACATTGTTGTTGCGGCATAGTCCGAGGTCGCGAGGAATCTCCGAGGTTCGCGTGGCCGCCAGAGGATCCAAAAACACTCATGCAAGGCGGCGAGCATCTCATGGCTAGTTGGTGCCAGTGGCAACATTGCAAATCGCCGAGCCGGAGAACTCACGGGGCTGGGCCAGTGCGGCATCGCTACAGCTCAGGTCGAACCAGGTGCAGACCTGCACTTATGTCGGATCATGTCCAGCATGCGACCTTTTGCTGCACACCCGCTGCACCAAGCAAGTGTGACAAGTCAGGCAACGTCTAGCCGCTTAGCCTGTGTTCGCCATGTGCAACCGCCGCATGCTTGACAAGTTGTCACGGCTCATCCATGTCAGAGAAGTCGCAATTTCCAGACTGAGGGAGTCAGAGTCCGAAATGTTTCGGCAATATAGGAACCTGATCACGAACCCTGGGCTCTTGATAGGGATCTGAATATGTAACCTATTGTTGAAGCCGCGGAGCATTCTCGAATGCGAAGTGACTTGTATCACTACCGTTCGCGATCTTTGAGTCCCTTGAACAGTCTGCTGTGTGGTTACCCGGCATCCAATTTCTGGCAGACGACACCTTCGCCTGTCTAGATCGCGCTGGGACTTATTTTGCATGACGGGCGAACTTCGACGCCGAAGTGACTGAGTGGCACAGGGAGTCCCGAGAACAAACCATTGTTGCCTAGAGCAAATAGCAGGCATGCCGTCTGCACTGAAACACTGCATCCGACTCCCCTCACGCGTACTGAAGCGGCTGAAGTGAAACATCACAGTGACTTCTTCTCAGCCTTCCATCAAGCAGGGGCAGCAGGGAGCACCACCAGAAAGGAAACAAGAAGTGGTGCCGACGCACACAGCCTTGGGAACTTCCAGCAGCTTGTCGATACCACGAGCTGCAAGCCTCCCGGCTCAAAAAGCCAAAACCGGTTTCAAAAGCCAAAACAAGCCTTCAGCTGAATAGCGATGCATCTTCGCTCCGAGGCTGCGGCAGATCCTTGTCCCGTTCAACAATCTCTGGGTGAAAGCTTGCCAGCTCGCAATAGATGTAGCTTTGGAGGAGCTGCGCGGAAGACGAAAACTGCACTACTGGCCCTGCAGATCACTGCAGTTCAACGACTCCGTCCAAGTGCGCGCCTGCTTGGTTGGCTCGAAATTGTCGAAGGACCAGTCGATCTTCGTGGTGCCTTATCAGTCTGGAGATACCTAGTGTATAAACATGTTTATTAGCTGCACAAGCTCCCTGCAAGTGTCCAGAACCATGTCTTCTTCATCGAACAGATGATCCAAATACCTGTGACAAGGATCCTAAATCGCAAAGAGACGCATAGATGGGTTCAATCCACTTCCCGCTTCAGGCAAGCGAGCTTTTCCGTGACTCGTTATTTCTTACTTGTGCCTTTTTCACCGTTCTATTGAAGCACTCCCCATTTACGCAATAGAACTAGCAATACTAGTAGCACCAGTAGTAGTAGTAGTAGTAGTTGTAGTAGTAGTAGTAGTAGTAGTAGTAGTAGTAGTAGTAGTACCAGTACCAGTACTAGTAGTAGTAGTAGTAGTAGTAGTAGTAGTA